CCCCCGACCGGAGCTGAGCCTGGCGCTCACCCCACTGGGCAGGCCCTGGGAGCCTGGAAGGAGCGGGGCGGAGGAACCCCCAAACCCCAAAGGTGGGGGGTACTGTGTCCCTGTGCCCAGAAGTGAGGACCACAGCCCCGTTGTCTGAGCCCAGTGTGGGCTCTCAGAGGATCTCTCTTGCTTTGAAAGCCTAGCTCCCCGTTTTTGTGGTCCCCACCGCCTCCCAGCTACCTGTCTGCCCACTGACTTCTCTCTTATGAATGGCAAGGGGGCAAGGGACACCTTCACCCCCCTTATCCTAAATCCCAGGGGGTCACCAGTAAGTCTAGCACCCTCTTTGATGAACCCAAGTGGACTCCCTTAAGAACCCCAGTAAATCCCCCAGAGACCTCCACTTGTTAGCACCCTTTGGGATCTCAGTTCTCCTGACCCTATAGAGGGTCTGCCACCTCCCTTTCAGGACCCTGAGCCCTGAGGCACCCCTGCCTCCTATCGCAAATGCACAGAGGCCCTCCGCTCCCCTCTTTGGGTACCACAGACTCTGAGCCCTAGTAGGGCACCCAGGTCTCTTCTAAGAAATCCACTTTCCCTTTTGTGAATCGTTGGGGACCCCCCCAAACAGCCCCTTAGTACTACAGACAGCACTTGTTCGCGACCCCCAATCTTGGAGTACTCAATTTTTCTCTCTGAGCTTTGGGGGGCAGCACCCTAATTTTCCTCTGTACCCCAGTTTTGCTGTAATTCTCAGGGCTCTCTCAGCCCCTCCTCCAGACCCCCAAAGGGCCCCAGTCTGGGGATTTGTTTGTTTTTTTCTTCCCTCTTCTAAGTCTCAGGGGTGACCTCAATTGGACCATTTGAGGAACCCTAAGACCTTTTCCAGTAAGTTCCGGGGGGGACCCCTTTCCCCCCATTCTGAACACAGTGGAGACTGAGCCCCTCACCCCTTCGAGGTCCCAGGGTGCCCCCTCTGGCCCTCCCAAAACTCCTCCTTAGCCCTGCCACCTTTGAACTCTGAGCGGCCCCCAAGATGATGTGGTCCAACTTCTTCATGCAAGAGGAGGACAGGCGGCGTGGGGCGGCGAGCAGGCGGCGTGGGCACCAGGGCCCAGAGCTGAGCCCAGAGCGTGAGGGGAAGATCAAGCTGTCCCTGCTGCTGGCCGCTGTGGGCGCCACGCTGGCTGTGCTGGCCGTGGGCACCGAGTTCTGGGTGGAACTCAACACTTACAAGGTCAACGGCAGTGCTGTCTGCGATGCGGCCCATCTGGGGCTATGGAAGGTGTGCACCAAGCGCCTGTGGCAGGCTGACGTGCCCGCGGGCAGAGACACCTGCGGCCCTGCGGAGCTGCCCGGAGGTGAGTGAACACTGCCCTGGACCCAGGCTTGCAGGAGGGTATGCCTGAGAAAACTGGCCCAAGAGAGAACCTGAACCCCAAAGACAGAGGTGGGTCACCCAAGAGCAACCTGCATCCCTGCAGAAAACCTGATCCCCAAGGAGAGGGCTACTTCCTAGGCATCATCTACACCCCACAGTGAGCCTGGCACCCCCTAACTAAAGAGTTGGTACCTCCCCCCCCCCAAACATGCCTGAGTCACAAGGAGAAGGCTACTGTCCAGGAACAACCTGAATCTTCCCCATGAGACCGAGCCCCAAGGAGAGAGTGGGTACCCCCAGGAGCTGCCCGGGACCCAAAGCTTGCACGCCCAGAACAACCTGTCCCAGGATCAAGTTGTGCACAGGCTGTGCAGGGACACACTGTCACTGTCCCTCAGTAGAGGACTTTCCTACGTCTGTGCTTAGAGTTTGTCGTCCAGCCACAGCCTGACCCCCAGACCAGCCTACACCCCCAGGCCAACCCACGCTGTAGACCAGCCCATGCCCACAGACAGCCCATGCTGCAGAGCAGCCTATAACCATAGACCAGTCATGTCCCCAACAGCCCGGGTGCACAGCCAGTCCATACGCTCACTGCGCTAGAGCTGACTCCACTCATAGTGGTCCCAGGGACCAGCTCATAATATAGACCAGCCCATCCTCCCTACAGCCTTTGCCCATGAACTAGATCAGCTTCCACTGTAGACTGTTTCCCACTCGACACCAACCCCTATTCTATACGAGCTCACAGTGCAGTGCAGCCCTTACTCTAGACAAGCTCATACACTCCAGACCAGCGGTTCTCAACCTGTGGGCCACGACCTCTTTGGGGGTCGAATGGCCCTTTCACAGGGGTCGCCCGATTAATAACAGTAGCAAAATGACAGTGATGAAGTAGCAATGAAAATAATTTTATGTTTGGGGGGCGGGGGTCACCACAACATGAGGAACTGTATGAAAGGGTCGCGGCATGAGGAAGGTTGAAAACCACTGCCGCAGATCAACATTTACTGTAGTCCAACCCTTACTCTAGTGTAACCCTTACTCTAGTGTAACCCTTACTGTAGTCCAACCCTTACTCTAGTGTAACCCTTACTGTAGTCCAACCCTTACTCTAGTGCAACCCTTACTGTAGTCCAACCCTTACTCTAGTCCAACCCTTACTCTAGTGCAACCCTTACTGTAGTCCAACCCTTACTGTAGACCAA